AAGTTGACACTTGATCACAAACCCCTGGTACCACCATGCTATGCATCTTGGATGCCGCTACTTGCATTGTTTATTTTTTAGAAGACTTTTACAATGCAAAGCTAGTCAGGGGTTACTGGCAAAGCTTATTATTCTGAAATAAAAGGAATAGCCGCTGGCACATCTGCACGCAGGGACAAAGAGAAGATGTTTGTAATTATGAAACTTTAGAGCAGGTTACTTGTCAACATTATGAAACACTTTCGACATACACCGAAAATAAGCCGAAAAAGAAATCATAATAGTACTCGCCCCATTGTCAACATACCTGTCATATTTCTACTACCCCGATTAACAACGTAGGTATAGTATACCCCATGGAGAAAGCTTCCAATTGTATACGCCAAATTCTCTGTTCATAAATGCCAACATTACAATTAATTCACTCAATTGCATTCGCCCAAAAAATCAGCCTACAGTGAAGGAACGCAAAACCACCGATCTCCTATAAACACGATTACAATACAATAAAGAAGTAAATTGAAATATTATATAAACCCATTGACGTTTACTATTTTCTATCTCAAAAATTCAGTTCCCAAACGTATTACATTTATTTTAATAATTACATTACTGATTTAAACAACAACAAAAATGATCGCAGTTCTTACAGCTATAGTCTATATCGCTTCTGTCACCGAGGAAACTTTTAATAACAAAAACGTTCAAAAGAGCATCGTTATCTCAAGAATAGATACGGAAGATGGCTACCAAATCTACAAGTTTGTCGCATAAACACCCGAAATTGATGCAAAGAACACTTCATACGAAGTTACGCAACATTTGCAACAAAACGAAATATACCAAATTTCGGAAAAGTTTGCGTCACTCAAAGACAATTCTTAAACAGTTCTAGCGGTCCACCGTAGCTGTGTCAATAAAGGACCACAAAGTCAAAGACAATTTTTTTAACGTGACAATTACAACCAGCATACAGTTACACATAGACGAAGACTTCATTCCTGTCTCAAAACCCATCGCTCATTTAATCGGTATTATGCTGACATGACCAATACGTGGTACATTTTACCCTTGCAAGTAAGGAATCAATTCCAACCCATCCAATCAACGGCCGTTTAAAAAATGGTCTTACAAAGTCGAGAAAAGGTTCACTGGTACATACAACAGGCATTCTATTCTTTCTCAACAACAACTTATATTGCGATTGTTAGAACTTTAGTTTATTTTTTTGTGCCATATGAACAGTGATGTCGGAATATTAATTTCGTGGAAAAGTGCTGCGAATAATAATAAAACCAACATCAACTCGGATGTAGATTGCAATACGCCAGGAACAATGCAGCCACCGTCTACTACGAACACATCCAATGAAATGCTAGTGAAAAAATAGGACAAGGTTTAGTGATATTTGCACACAGCTTTTCTCGATAGTTTTTCCTCAGAAATGAAAATATTTCTAATATAGACACTAGAATTGAAGCAGACCTGAAAAAACCAATGATATGATGACGTTTTCAAAGAACAATAGAACCATAGCAAACCAAGACGTGTAGCTAGAAATAAACGTCAGAAAACACAGTATATGATATATATTTTGTAGAAGATTTTTTTTTCTTTCCCTATTGACAAATTTCTTAGTGACATGTATAAAATACTCTTTTATTAACATAAAATAAAAATTTATTATCATTATCCCGAATCGTCATCTTATTATTTCTATTGGAAGATAAAATCATACTTCCCACTAACATCGCATACATTTTTTTTCGTTACGTTATACTTAGCGTGGATCTGTCGCACTACCCAAAGTTGTAGCTTCATATGCAAGTTTATTTGGAAAACAATTAAGTCGACAGTCAGTTTTTATTGCGCTTTGTCACCCTTCCAATTTAAGCTTTTTATCAATATTTATCGATTGAATTAATCAAAAATACGATCTATCGATAGTGTAGAACAATTATCAAGATGCCAGTTTTTTATCCATATTAAGGTTATTACCTTACGTTCGTCCATGAACTGAGGAAGATAATGAAGAACGAACTATATTTCTGATTTTTATAATACGTGTTTTCACTCACACTCCATAAATTCTGTTTTTGTATCACATTCGACGGATCGTATTAATTTGAAGAAACTTGGCTAAAAAACAGATAAATATTTTATTCTCATAGTTTATCTGATGGTTTATAGAGTTCAATTAATAAAAATTGTGACAAAAGTTGGTATTTTAAATGTAACGGGACTTGTTGCTTGTGAAAGGGCGGTTTACATAGACTCTATAATAATAAGCAAAACCGTTATTTTTATTTGCCAACATAAAAACAGCCGTATGCTTACATGATGATAATGATATTCAAACAAGCATATCTATGTATTTGTACATAAATATTGCCTTATTAAACAGATTACTTAACGTTAAGTAATTTGTTCGACAAAAATGGTTACCTTCCAAAGTCTACTGATAGAAATAAAATAAAGTTTAGTACATCACACAGGCTGGCCTATAAATAGAGAATGACAGCGTGGTAATTATGGTTTACGTGATGTGGGCGGGCAATCACAATAATAGTTCGATATTTACATTTAGTAATAACATTTTTTGTCATTTAAGAGTTACTATATATAGCATTGTCTCTCAACATTTCACTTTCAAACCAACATCGTCGATTGAACTTCACAAAAGAGGCAATAGAAATGGTGAAGTATACTAAAGACACCCGCTTGAGCCAGTTTCTGCCAATTCGACATCGTTTTCTTTGATTGACTCCTGCCCCTAATCTTACGCCAAATTACTTAAATATGACGTCATATTACAGTGTGTGCGTGTGGTCAGAAATAACAGAAAAATGGTAACAATGTGGGACATCTTGGCCAGTTAAATTTAATACCAGACACTACGTAGAGATAATCACATCACTGAAGATAATAAATAATAACGATAATATAATATCGGAAAGTGTATAATACTTGAGCTTAACGTTAATGCTTAATTCAATGTATGATTATAAAAGTTTATCAGCGGCACGCAGTTGAATATCAGAAGCTGGCTTTGAACTAATTTACTATTACGCGTTAGTTTTTAGACCAACTCGGCAGTTTCAATATAACACTACGATTAAACTGAAATTCATACGGGGCTGGAATTAGACTTATGTTTGAAGTCGTTAAAGCTCAAGATTACAATAAAAATGCTGTTTGTACTTGTTACTTACGAAAGTAATGAGATATTAGGTTAGAAGGAAGAAGTACTTGGATACATACATACATACATACAAAAGGCATTTGTTAAGGTCATTGATAGGTGTAGGAAAAGTAAGTGTGATTTCGGAAACGATATATTCTCATAAGGAACAAATTTTACATACTGTCGTTAGCGATTGATAAGAAATACTCTTTACTTAATAAACATACTAGTATTCGTAACGTAAATTTGGGGTAATATTCAAAGACGTGTATGCGCCCGTTTTTACACGAATATCCTTTATGTGAAAGGAAGAGTGTAGAGATGTTATTGTCACATGCTTGTGACACCTTCTGTATGGCGTAAACTACTTACCATTTGTTTGTGTTTCTTACGTCTACTACAGATTGCATCCCACGCAATGTATCTGGAATGATTTTTTATTACTCTCCTTTAATACGCGTAGATTATAGATGTGCAAATGATCAAATTTAGTTAAACCTTGTATTCTGTTCTAAATCAATTTTTATTACCCATATTTATAATATATAACAAATAAACGATTTAACCTCTTCTAAATAACAAACCCATGTCTATCTGTCTATCACAATAGAAATATTATTCTAATAACCATAAACGTGACGTTATACTACTATAAGATGGTCACGTTACATATGGCCGAACACATAAATGAAAGCACAACAACGGTCATTGTTAGAAGTTTTCTAGACAATTGCATTTGTTTTTTAAAGCTGTCGCTGGTGAAAACGCTATTACTACCACTGCCACCGTCACTGTTAGGACCGCTGGTGTTACTGGTGCTGGTGCTGGTGCTAGTGCTGGTACTGGCGCTAGTGCTGCTTGTGCTGCTTGCGGCGTCACTTCCGCTATCACTACCGGTACCACTTCCACTTCCGCTTCTTCCACTTCCACTTCCACTTCCACTTCCACTTCCACTTCCACTTCTCCTTCCGCTTCCACTTCCGCTTCCGCTTCCACTTCCACTTCCGCTTCCGCTTTCACTTCCACTTCCACCACCTCCACTTCCACCTCCACTTCCACCTTCACCACCACCGCCTGAACCGCATAGGCCACTAGATAGGCAAGTTTGGTAAGAGTGGCAGCAACCATCGCCGCAGGATTTATCGCTAGCAGAGCAGGGTACGGCGCATTTTCCGTCAGGTATGCATGCTGCACCTGTAGGACAACAACCAAAACCATCTGGACATGGAGAATAGGTTGGATCGCCGCAGATGTTAGTAGTAGCGTTTTTCGTCGTCACAAAGGAAAGTGCCCCAATATTGCGGCCGACAAAATCTCTTGTTTTAAGATATGTGACATTGGTTCTAGTAGTTTCCAGCTGAGTTGGTGTAGCCGAAGCAAAAGTTATTACGATGAGAGGAGGAATAATGTCTGAATTATCATATTGGATGTTGAGTAGGAATTGAAAAATTTGCAGATGTAGGATGGGCATGCCACGCTCGCTGTTTAAATAACAATTTACGAGTTTTACTTGTAATGTTGCACCGCTTTTTGTGAATTGACAATTTGTTCAAGTTGTAGTTTGAATGATCTAATTTTTTTTATGTATAAATTACTTTTTGTTTTTCTACGTGGACTACAGAACACGTTGATTATCTGGAAAGAATTTTCGATTTTTGTAATACGGCACACAAATCCATAAGCTTTATTCTTTATTGCATGCGTATTGATCGTACATAAAGTGTTGGTTCATACGATGAGCTGATATTTCAAGATTGAAAAGACTGTTGACATTTGTAAAGACTAGGTTATAAGTCAAAAGTTATTCATGTCTTGCGAGTGTAGGTAAATATTATTGATTAAAGAATATTCGCATCCCGTAGAGAGATGCCACAAAAAAATTTTACCCGAAAAGGTAATACCTGAATGAAAATTATCGAGTGCAAAGCTTCACAGTTCCACAAGACATTCAGACTTGCCAAAAATA